ACCTCTACACCTTGCTATCTCAAGATTACATGAATAGGATGAGTTTAGAGGGATATGGACCAAAAGCTGGCAATTGGGACTAGATCAATTTAGGATATTTGGCTGGTACAGACAAGCTGGATTGAATCATCTGTTTCTGTGCTGTATAACTATTTCCTCAACCAACACAGTCCTGACAGCTGGCAGTTAATTTAAAATAAGTGTAGATTGTCTTTTAAACTTTTAGAACATTTGAGATTGAAGAAAGTAGACTAACCAATTACTTCGCAACTGGAGAGTACAGTACAATCTGGAGACATTCACAGGAAATGTAACTGAAGATCAGCCAGTGGCATAATGTAAAAAAAAAGGCAGTATAACCCCGGAGTCAGCAAGATCACAGCCAGAGCATTTCTTCTATTTGTGGGATAAATACTGATCACAATCAAGATGAGGTGGCCATTAACACCAACTGAAATGCCGACGAGATTGAGCCAGGGTGGATAGAAGGAAGGAGAGAAATACCAATCAGAAACCCACCATTCCGAAGAAAGTTTCTCATTCAAAACACAGAACTGTCAGTGATTTTAATCAACAGGCAATTCAACACATTGAATAATACCACAACATGAGTTTCATCTAAGGGTCCAAATTTATTTGGGCGTGTTCCAGACTGTGTGTGGAGTTTGCACATTCTCCCCATGTCTGCACGGATTTCCTCCAGATGCTCCGGTTTCCTCAGAGTCGAAATACGTACAGGTTAGGTGGATTGGCTGTGCTAAAATTGACCAGATAGTGTTCAGGAATGTGCAGGTTGGGTGGGTTATCCACAGGAAATGTAGGATTATGGGGTTAGGTTACTCTGCAGAGGATTGGTGTGGACTTGTTGGGCAGAATGGCCTGTTTGCACTGTAGGGATTCTAAGAATATCAGGCCCTGGTATCACTAATGGTCAAAGACTGGAAAGCCTGTGAAGAAAAGAACATCGATTTATGTAGCACTGCTCATAACCACAGGAAATCACAAAGCAACTTACACTTTACAGTGCCCCCAAACACTCCCAGGACAGGTACAGCAGAGATTGTATGTACACACATTAGGATAGCCTTTCAGTGAATAAGTACAGGTTATTCTGATCAGAGTAAAATTTAAGTACATTGCCTTGCAGGCCGATTGAGTTTCATTGCTTCAGTTTGCCTGTTCAGTGGAAGGTCTTCTGGGGCCCCATTCACTCATCCCCAGCTAGAGTCTCTCACAGTTATCATGAAAAAAGTTTAGCCCCGAGATCGTCCGGCAGCTGAAAGTGGATATAAAATAAGCTCTAGAGCTGAAGGCCCTGAGCAAGGTACAGCAAAACCCAGTTCCTCCAATGGTTTCAAATAGGGGTTGACCCTCCATGTTGGTGTGGTAGTGAACATTCTACAGGATCACAGACATCAGGAGGCTCAAGATACCACCAGCTTAAAACAGATCATGTCTGACAACTGGTCAAACATGCCACAAAACCTCACAGCATATATCATGCAGTGTGGTGACTACCAACTTCAACGATCAACCACAAGGTGAAGCTCTGAATTTGTTTCAGTGGATGTCGGCACAGCTGGATCACAGGTCAGACCTTCGCTGCTTCCTGCACTGAGACTGTTACTCTGAGCCTTGCCTTGGCCATACACACTCATGGGAGAGGAGGTGGTACGATGGCAGTGGGCTCTGAGAGGTAGAACATTGCAAGAAACAAAAGTCATACCTGCAACACTGCAATGGTGCCAGGCAAGAAATCACTTTCACATTTCATTGAGATTCCAACCTGTAATTCAAAACACAGAAGAGTTAAAATGGATTTAGAAAGTCAGATATAAGAAGATTTCAATATAGAAGAGGTTTAGGAAAATTGCACTAAAACTCCACTGATGACCAGAACATTACAGGTTAGACACAGTAAAGCTTCCTTGACATCAACCCCAAACAAACCCAGACGGTCCAGCAGTAGTAACATGTCATGAGTCAAACAGCATGGAAACACTTTGGACTAACCAGTCCATGCTGACCATAATCCCAAACTGAACTTAGTCCCACCTGCTTGCACTTCACTCATACCCCTCCAAACATTTCTTACTCATGTACTTATCTAAAAATGTCTTTTAAAATGTTGTAACTGTATCTGCATCCACAACATCCTCTGCAAATTTATTTGACAAGAAACAAAACTGCCCCTTATGTCTCCTGAATCTCTCTCCTCGCAGCTTAAAAATACACCCCTAGTCTTGAAATCCTCCACCCTAGGAAAAAGACACCCGACATTCACCTTTTCTATACCCCTCAATTTTATAAACCTGTATAAAGGTCACTCCTCAATCTGCTAGACTCCATTGGGGAAAAGTCCCAGCCTATCCAGCCTCTCCTTATAATCAAACCCATCAAACTTGTCAATATCCTGGTAAATCTCTCCTGAACCCTCAGCAGCTTAATAGTAACCTTCCTATAACTGGGTGACCAGAACTGGACACATACTCCAGAAAAGGCCTGATGTCCTGTACAACCTCAACATAATGTCCCAACTCCTATACTCAAAAGGTTTCAGCAATGAAGGGCAAGCATGCTAAATGCCTTCTTAACCACCCTATGCGTGATGCAAACTTCAGAGAATTATGTACTGAACCCCAAGGCTCTGTTGCTCTACAAGACCCAAAGCCCTACTTTTAACTGTTTCTCTGCTGTACAACTCATTACTATTTCCTCAACTGGCACGCTCTTGACAGGTGTCAATTAACGATCGTCAGTGAACAAGATTACAGCCCACAGCAAGTCCTGCTCTCGCTTGTTTGAGCCAAAAAAAAATGCAATACCTCATGTTTATCCAAATTAAACATCATCTATCACTCTTCAGCCCATTGACCCAATTAATCAAAACCTTAGAAATCTTGGATAACCTTCTTCACTGACCACCAATTTTGGTGTCATCCATAAAACTTAGTAACCATGCCTTCTATCTTTTCATCTAAATCAATTATTACATAAATTACAAACAGAAAGACTGGAGGTTGGCTAATGTGCCACTATTTCAGAAAGGTGGTAAGGAAAAGCAGGGAACTTTAAACCAGTGAGCCTGGCAAGTTGTTGGAGGGAATCCCAGGGACAGGACTTGTGTGTATTTGGAAAGGCAAGGACTGGTTAGGGAGTCAACATGGCTTTGTGTGTGGGAAATCGTGTCTCACTACTTCAAAAAAATTCAACTGTTACTAATGGAGAGGATTGACGAGGGCAGAGTGGTGGACGTTATCTATATGGACTTCAGTAAGGCGCTCAATAAAGTTCCTCATGGTAGACTGGTTAGCAAGGTTAGATCACACGGAATACAGGGAGAACTAGCCACTGGCTCAAAGGTTGAAGACAGGGTGGTGGTGGAGGGTTGCTTTTCAGACTGGAGACCTGTGCCACAAGGATCAGTGCTGCACCCACTGCTTTTTGTCATTTACATAAATGATTTAGATGCGAGCATAGGAGATGTAGTCAGTAAGTTTGGAGGGGACACCAAATTTCGAGGTGTAGTTGACAGCAAAGAAGGTAACCGAGTACGGTGGGATCTTGATCAGATGTGCCTATGAGCTGAGGAGAGGCAGCTGGAGGTTAATTTAGATAAATGGTAAGGTGCTGCATTTTGGAAAGGTAAATCAGGGCAGGACTTATACACTTAAATGGTAAGATCCTGTGGAGTGTTGCTGAACAAAGAGACCTTGGAGTACAGGTTCAAAGTTCCTTGAAAGTGGAGTTCAAGTTGACAGGATAGTGAAGAAAGCATTTGAGACACTTGCGCCTTTATTGGTCAGTGCACTGAGTATAGGAGTTGGGAGGTCATGTTGCAACTGTACAGGCCACTTCTGGATTACTGGATGAAATTCTGGTCTCCCAGCTACAGGAAGAATGTTGTGAAACTTCAAAGGGTTCAGAAAAGATTTACAGATGTTGCCAGGGTTGGAGGGTTTGAGCTACAGGGAGAGGCTGAATAGGCTGGTACTTTTTTCCTGGAGTGGAGACTGACAGGTGGTGTTGTACAGTTTATAAAATCATGAGGAGCAGGAGGGTGAATAGCCAAGGTCTCCTTCCTAGGGTGGGGGAGCGCAAAACTATAGGGCATAGGTTTAAGGTGATTTAAAAAGGGTTTAAAGGGGCAAAGTTTTCATGCAGAAGGTGGTGCATGTTTGGAATGAGTTGCCACAAAGTGGTGGAAGCTGGTACAATGACAACATTTAAAAGGCATCTGGATGGGTACATGAATAGAAAGGGGAGAAGAAGGATATGGGCCAAATGCTGGCAAATGGGACGAGATTAATTTAGGACACCTGGTCATAGAACATAGAACATTACAGCGCAGTACAGGCCCTTCGGCCCTCGATGCTGTGCCAACTGGTGAAACCAATCTGAAGCCCATCTAACCTACCCTATCCCATTATCATCCATATGGTTATCCAATGACCATTTAAATGCCCTTAAAGTTGGCGAGTCTACTACTGTTGCAGGCAGGGCATTCCACGCCCTTACTACTCTCCGAGTAAAGAACCTACCTCTGACATTTGTCCTATATCTATCACCCCTCAACTTAAAGCTATGTCCCCTCGTGCTAGCCATCACCATCCGAGGAAAAAGGCTCTCGCTGTCCACCCTAGCTAATCCTCTGATCATCTTGTATGTCTCTATTAAGTCACCTCTTAACCTTCTTCTCTTTAACGAAAACAGCCTCAAGTCCCTCAGCCTTTCCTCATAAGACCTTCCCTCCATACCAGGCAACATCCTGGTAAATCTCCTCTGCACCCTTTCCAATGCTTCCACATCCTTCCTATAATGCGGCGACCAGAACTGTACGCGATACTCCAAGTGTGGCCGCACCAGAGTTTTGTACAGCTGCAACATGACCTCATAGCTCCGAAACTCAATCCCTCTACCAATAAAATCTAACACACCATATGCCTTCTTAACAACCCTATCAACCTGGGTGGCAACTTTCAGGGATTGATGCACATGGACACCAAGATCTCTCTGCTCATCCACACTACCAAGAATCTTACCATTAGCCCAGTACTCTGTATTCCTGTTACTCCTTCCAAAGTGAATCACCTCACACTTTTCCGCATTAAACTCCATTTGCCACCTCTCAGCCCAGCACTGCAGCTTATCTATATCCCTCTGTAACCTGCAACATCCTTCCGCACTATCCACAACTCCACCAACTTTCGTGTCATCCACAAATTTACTAACCCATCTCTCTACGCCCTCATCCAGGTCATTTATAAAAATGACAAACAGCAGTGGCCCCAAAACAGATCCTTGAGGTACACCACTAGTAACTGACCTCCAGAATGAACATTTCCCATCAACCACCACCCTCTGTCTTCTTACAGCTAGCCAATTTCTGATCCAAACCGCTAAATTACCTTCAATCCCATGCCTCCATATTTTCTGCAATAGCCTACTGTGGGGAACCTTATCAAACGCTTTACTGAAATCCATATACACCACATCAACCGCTTTACCCTCATCCACCTGTTTGGTCACCTTCTCAAAGAACTCAATAAGGTTTGTGAGGCACCACCTACCCTTCACAAAACCGTGTTGACTATTCCTAATCAAATTATTCCTTTCTAGATGATTATAAATCCTATCTCTTATAATCCTTTCCAACACTTTACCCACAACCGAAGTAAGGCTCACTGGTCTATAATTACCAGGGTTGTCTCTACTCCCCTCCTTGAACAAGGGGACAACATTTGCTATCCTCCAGTCTTCTGGCACTATTCCTGTAGACAATGACAACACAAAGATCAAAGCCAATGGCTCTGCAATCTCCTCCCTAGCTTCCCAGAGAATCCTAGGATAAATCCCATCCGGCCCAGGGGACTTATCTATTTTACACTTTCCAGAATTGCTGACACCGCCTCCTTATGAACCTCAATCCCATCTAGTCTAATAGCCTGTATCTCAGTATTCTCCTCGACAACATTGTCTTTTTCCTGTGTGAAAACTGGCGAAAAATATTCATTTAGCACCTCTCCGATCTCTTCAGACTCCACGCACAACTTCCCCCTACTGTCCTTGACCGGCCTCAATCTTACTCTAGTCATTCTTTTATTCCTGACATACCTATAGAAAGCTTTAGGGTTTTCCTTGATCCTACCTGCTAAAGACTTCTCAAGTCCCCTCCTGGCTCTTCTTAGCTCTCTCTTTAGGTCCTTCCTGGCTAACTTGTAACTCTCAACAGCCCAAACTGAGCCTTCATGCCTCATCTTTACATAAGCCTCCTTCTTTGTCTTGACAAGAGATTCAACTTCTTTAGTAAACCATGGTTCCCTCGCTCGACCACTTCCTCCCTGCCTGACAGGTACATACTTCTCAAGGACACGCAGTAGCTATTCCTTGAACAAGCTCCACATTTCAATTGTGCCCAACCCCTGCAGTTTCCTTCTCCATCCTATGCATCCTAAATCTTGCCTAATCGCCTTTTCCCCCAGCTATGGTCAACATGGATGATATGGGCCAAAGGGTCTGCTTCCATGCTGTACACTCTACGACTCAAAGTGGACACAGCACCAACCTTGTGGAACACTGCTGGTCACACACTTCTAGTCCAAACAAAACAACCTTCCAATATATATGTGCTACATTCCCTCACAGTACACCATATTCCTTAATAAATATCACTGATTATTTTGATTGATATCTTAAACAAGTTGCCCTATAGGCTAACTTAACTTCTATTACAGTCAAGCCGGTTCTGTGGGATAAAGGTTTCAAGGGTTCCATTTACTGATCCCCAGCTTGAATCAATGAAGCCGAACTTTATTCCCCACCAGTACAGGAGCTGGAACTGGATTTAAAACCATCTCTCACAACTGAAGGCCACTGAACAAGCACAGGAAAACACAGAACCTCCAATCGTCTACAATGGCTTCAAACAGAGGTCAGACCCTCAATGGAGGGTTACTGAATATTTTACTGGATCACAGACATCAGGAGGCTCAATATACTGCCAGTTTAAAACTGATGTCTGACAACTAGTCAAACATATCAGGAAACATTGGACAATCCTCAGCATATATCAATGCAGCACGAGCAGTGAAAACCTTCCCTGGTGACTGCTAACCTCGACAACCAACACAGGGTGAAGCTCTGAATCTGTTTCAGTGGATGTCGGCACAGCTGGGTCACAGGTCAGACCTTCGCTGCTTCCTACACTGAGACTGTGTTACTCTGAGCCTCGCCTTGGCCGTACACACTCACAGGACAGGAGGTGGTACGATGGCGGTGGGCTCCAGGTGAGATAACAAGAAGAGATTCATACCTGCAACACTGATAATGCCAGGCAACAGAACATTTTTACATCTCACTCTCAGATTCCAATCTGTAATTCAAACAGAAAAATTAAAACGCATTTAAGGAAGTCAAACGTAACAACGTTTAGATATCGCTAGATGACCCAAGCATCAAGGGTTAGATTAAACCTCCCTCAACTCATTTAAGAAGGAAAGCTCCGTCTATTTTTTTTAAAACACAAATTATTGCTCCCTCAACACTGTCCTCAAATACTCACAGGGCAGGCAGGTACAGCACAAAGTTCGGTTCAGAGTAAAACTCCCTCAACACTGTCTCCATCAAAAATACTCCAGGACAAGAACAGCATAGTAAAATTATGGCACATGGAATAGGAGGCAATGTGGGCATGGATTAATGACTGGCCAACAGGCAGTAAGCAGCAGGAATAAGGGGATCACTCTCTCACTTGGCAGACCATGACCAGTGGGGTATTGCAAGGATCTTGGCCTCCAGTTCTTCAGGACATTTCTTAATTATAATGGATGCAGAGATCAAATGTAAAAATTCCCAAGACTGCAATCGTCACAAAGCTCCAAGAATCAAGAGGAGGATGCAACGATGCTTCAAGGGCAGAGGTGCCTTCCTAGTGACTCCAAACAACCAATACAGGGTGAAGCTCTGAATCTGTTTCAGTGGATGTCGGCACAGCTGGGTCACAGGTCAGACCTTCGCTGCTTCCTACACTGAGACTGTTACTCTGAGCCTTGCCTTGGCCGTACACACTCACAGGACAGGAGGTGGTACGATGGCGGCGGGCTCCAGCTGAGATAGAACATTGGAAGAAAATGACTCATACCTGCGATGGTATTAGGCAAGGGCTCACATTTACACCACAGTTTCAGATTCCAACCTCTAAAGCAAACAAAAAAAAGAGTTAAAGTGCATTCAGGTATAACAAGAATAAAAATAGAAAAATTACATCTGTGTAACAACACTTAAGACCAGACAGCATGGGTAAGATAGTAAAGTTAGTGTTCCTATACATTCCCAAAATAGGTACAGATTGGGGATTAGATATGAGTAAACCTTCCTCTGCCAACAAAGTGTAATGAAGGTTCAGTTGATTGAACTTTGGGATGGTGGGATTGAGTAATGAGGGGGGATGGAGGCAAGCTGGGTCTGCAAACTCAACATTTGCAGAGTAGAAGAGCATATAAATTCTGGCAGGATGCTACAAACAAGATGCAGCAAGGGGAGGAGATGGTGGTGGCGGCGGCAGATTATGATGATGGTTCTAATATAGGAATAAAAAAGGAGGCAAGCCACATGGTTAGGAATGAGCTGCCAGAGGAAGAGGCTGGTAAAATTACAACTTTTAAAAGGCAGCTGGATGGCTACATGAATAGAAAGGGTTTAGAGGGATATGGACCAAAGGCTGGCAAATGGGACTCCATCAGTTTAGGATATCCAGTTGGCACTGACAAGGCGTTTCCTTGTTGTATAACTAAATCATCAGGATTACCGGTCCAGTGACATTAGGATTAGATTTTAGTCATATATTCAAGTACAGAAAGAGTACAGTGAAAAGTATGCAATGTCACCATTCCCCACACCATCTTAGGTACAAAGGCACACAGGTACAAAATCTTAGGACAAAGTAGAAAAATAAAGAACTTAAGTTAAAGTTAATACTAAGAAGGACTGTAATGTTTAAGTAGAAAAGTTTAGAAATAAAATTGAGGTTCAACAGTCTGAAGTGCTTAGCCACGCTGGCTTGCACTCCCTACAAGGCCTCAATCTCCTCTGCTTGGGCCCTCTCTCTAGGGCACCTTAAGACTGCCTGCTGTCTGCAGACGCCAGGGGACTGACCTCACCACCACTCTAGGCTCACTGTTGCCACACTGGACTCTATCTCCAATGCCAAAGGCCCCCTGCTGCTGCTGCCATGCTCTGGATCTGACAAAGCCATGATGCCATCACCACCACGAGCACGCCCGAGCTCTCTCCATGAGGTAAGTGAGCAGGAAAAAAAACTGAATGGAGTCGCAAGTACTCCCACCACCTCCTCCTGAATTTTGCAGTAAAAATAATGGAGACACCTCTACATCTCTATGCACTACAAATTACCATTGTGAAGTGGACAGCCAACCTGTGTTGAAACAAATGCCATTCATATGGTCTTGCCAGAACAAAGCATTTGATGGGAGGGATACAAGCTTAATAACACACAACTTCATTTGAGAAAACACCAATAAGAAACCATAATTTTCTTTCAGTTAGTTATGTATCAACAGTGATCAGGAGAGAAGGTGGGGGAAATTGTTTTCCCCCCCCCCACTGTATTCATGGGGGTTTACCACCTGAAAGTGTAGAAACCCTGAAGATTTAAAGACACTTGGTAAAGCACCACAATTCACAGGGCAACATACCAAGAGCGGGAAGATGGGATTAAATTGGCACTCATTTTTCCAGTTTGTACATCAACAACCAGCTGAGTGGCCTCTTTCTGTACATTTTCCTATCATATTTTCTATACAGGCAGTTTCTGTCACAACTTCCCTCCAGAATTGCTGGATGTCCGTTCACCAACTATGCTATCATTTAACATCAGGACACGCCCAACATTAGGAAGGAGCTTTCTTCTCCCTGTATATGTGGGTAGGAGTGAATAAATTATTTCAGATTAAATATTTTCTTAAGCAGCTGACCACTTCCAAGATGTTGCAATTTTAAATTTTTCCCTGAAGTTGCAGACTCGTTTAGGAAGCCGCCATCCTCTTGCTTTCTGTAAGCGGCCAAAGGTGAGACATCGCCACGTTTTACCAAAGTAAATCGCGCCGCTTTCAAGTACCGTTTAATTACATCTTGGTGAAGGTTTACTCGAAGGAGCTGCGGCAGTCACATCCAGCCATCGGCGAATTCGTCCGAGGCTTCACGATGGAGGATGCCGATGGATACAGAAAGGACACTCCACACCACCTTCCTCCATCTTGCTGCTGCCGAGATAGAGACAGAACACACCGGCGAAAGCGGATATCAAGGCGCGCAACTTCCGGAGCCCACAGCGCCCTCTCCAACGAAGAGCCTTCGTAGATTTCCGGAGCTCACGCCGCCCTCGCCGAGGAACGTTCGTAGATTTCCGGAGCCCACACAGCCCCCGCCGAGGGACCTTCGTACATTTCCGGAGCCCACACCCGTGGTAGCTTCGGGAATCTCCGGCAAACAGCCGATGTCCAAAGCAACAAGGTGCAGGGCTGGATGAACACAGCAGGCCAAGCAGCATC